GGCAAAAGGGGGTCCAACCCGTTACTAGCGTGGTGTACCTAATAAAGTGGCTGGTGAGTGTAGATGATCACAGTTTGGGCGGTCTCGGCTGCAGCGGATATTGAGTCTAATTCTGGGATATGAACATAATGGAGGGGGTGTGGAGGAACGATCGAAGCTGGCACTCGGTGAGACAGAAGCCATTTCTCGAAAGCAAAATAAAAAGTCCAGATTATAGTTTGCAGACGCACACAGGGGTGAAGACCTTAATTTTCCTGAGACACGTCCTGTGTTCTGATAAACTGTTTGGTTGCAATCATAGTGAAAGTTGCAAACTTGAAAACACTGTCTCAGTGTTAAGGACGGGGGTGGCAGCATCATGTTGTGGGGTGTTTTGTGGTACAGTACAAACTAAAACATCATGAGGAAAGAACGTTATGTGGAAATGCCGAAACACCTTGAGAAATTAGCCAGAAAGTTAACGTTTCGGCACAAACTCTTCCAAAATGAAAAGTGACCATAAGCAGACGACAAATAGTTTTTCGTTATTGTCTGTAGAGCTCTACTGCAGACCTTATAATTACATTGTAAATGAATGTAGGAACAATTGAAACAACATTAACTCAATCAAGTTTTATTGTTGCAATCTTTAGAAGCTTACTTTTTAGTACATTAAAGTGTTCCTTCACAAGAAAGAAGGAAAAAGAAAATAAATTTGAAGTTTCTTTTGAAGATGCTTTGATCAAGCCCCACATAGCCATACCCCTGCATTAAAACACGACAAGTGGTGTTTTCTATATCATTTCAAAGTGAATACATTTATCTTCATAGCATGTTGTGTTTCAGAGCGTTCAGGCTGTGATGAGTTGCACGTMTCCTCTCTCCCACAGGTCTGCTCGGTCCCGTATTCGCCAGTCGCAAATAACAAATGCCTCAACATGACAACGGAGTATCTGAATGAAAACAACAACTTGTGCTGTAAAAGGTGCCCMCCTGGTAAGCGCTGTCCCGTAAATAAAAGCAGAGACTGTGATTTTTTTCTAAATTTTCCCAAACTTCCACACTCATACTGCTGCTCAGACAACGCAGTTTAAAGGCTGCTTCATGACTCACATTCTGAAACGTGGTGGTGAGTTTTGGGCGTGCAGGTGTGAGAAAAAAAAGTCATCTACTGTACATGAGGTTATAATACTTGAACATTTTAAAAGATTTTACTTTTTTTAATGTTAAGTTGATTTTTGTCAAGGTAAATGAAATATAGTTTGGGAAAATAAAGCTGGCTATAAAGCAAGGCTCATACATTCATAAACTAAAACCTATCAAGGCAACCCAGTTTTAATTTTTAGTACAGTTCAGCATCAAGGAAATTCAAAAGCTGTATGACTAGCTAAGCTTGCTTATTTGTATGTATTCCTTTTAAGTTTCTTTACGATTTTTAGTTTAGTTTAGTTAAATAGTTTATTCATTTCGATTAAAAACAATAATTTCAGTACAACAACAAAAAAGAAACACTAATCTCATAAAATGAAAGGAAGCAGAAGAAGAAAAGAATCTTACAACATCTGTCCCTATTTAACAAAAAAGAATAATAAAAATAAAATATATACACATTTACATGTGTACACATACACACATTCATATATACATATATATGCATATATACACACACATGCACATACTGTATATAATTTTACACCCTCATCAGCATAACAAAAATTTTCTCTAACCAGGATCTTCCAAAGGGATTTAAACGAGTGCAAAATGCTTCTAATAAGTTTTCAGTTGCAAGCATAAAGTCAGCATCCTATTCCTATTTTTATTTTGATCTATGTTTATTTTGTATTGTTACTTTCTTTAATTCTATTATTATTGCTACAATTGATATTGTCACATAGCAATATACTGTTTTGGTGGATTGATGTGTGTATCTGCTGCTGCTACACCTGAATTTCCCCACGCAGGACACTAAAGGCTGTTTCTATTCTATTCTATTCTATTCCATATATTTTCTCAGACTTCCAGCCCTAAAACCTGACATTAGCAGCCCTAAATGTGCTTCCTCATCGTCCTCTCCATCACTTTATCTGTTGTTTTTAGCTCTGGCCTTTTCATCCTTTTTTAAGCACAGAGCAGAAACACAGCACTAACACCTGTGAGCACATGCACCCACCTGGTTGTTGTGTAACGACTACACACCAGACACACTTAAATCACCTGAGGACGCTGTCCAAAGACCAGGAACATAAAGAAGCATGTCCTCAGGACTGGGCCTGTTTGAGCTGATTTGGCAAACCCTAAACAGATGCTGAGCATCAAACGTAGATCCCTGAGATACAATCTTACTAAAACTTAATGTAAAATAAAACTATTATAATGAATAATTTCCTCCTATAATATTATATTAAGCAG